ACGATAGCCAAATGGCGGCCGCTTTAAGGCCGTAAATGCATTGAAATCGCACATTTTCACCATTCCGAACCTGGATCTCAGTTATGCATGGACGGATTTTGTTCAAATTTGGTACATACAATAAACATAATAGGACCTTAATGCACGTCTTTTTTTTTTTTCGGATCAAGTTTCAAATGGCCGACTGGCGGTCATTTTGTTAAAGAATTCAGTTCTGGATCCGTATCCAAGACATGTCTGGATTGATCAAGTTCAAACTTCACACACACATGGTACATCATGTCACAAATAGATATGTGCATTTGTTTCATGATCCGCTTAACAATAGCTGAATGACGGCCATTTTAAGGCCGAAAATGCATCAAAATCACGTATTTTCACAATTTCGGAACCAGATCTCAGTCATGCATGGATGGATTTTGTTCAGATTTAGTACAATGTGTTGTACATATGCAGGTGCATTTCAGTCATGATCTGCTTTGAATGTATATGTCACTCAAATATGAACGGAATGAGGACGTGTCATTGACAATGACTTGTGATTTTTGATTCGCCAAATGCCTTTAGGAGAGAAAAAAAGCGTTCTACAATCTGTAAACACACATTTTTAGAACCGCGAATTTGACAACGCATGAACTACGAAAAAACATGTGTCTGGCCTGCTACGAAAAAACATGGTTTCAGACATGACGTTTCATATCAATTGGAATGAAGGAATGGTGTCAGAGCCGCCAAATCCTAAATAAGATAAACCGTACCAAAGGAGAATGATTGGGCAAGTGCGTATAATTACTCCAGACAAGCAGAACGAGTGTGGCCCATGTAGGGCCGTCGCTTTTTTTTTGAAATTGTATTTGTTTTCTTTTTTATGATTCAACTAATCAAATCATACCCCTGATAATAACGTCTCAAAATACAATTACCATTTTTGTTGTAATAATTCAGCCACTCCCAAATATAATGTTTGTTTTCATGGTTTCTAACCTTAGAATTAGCCGTTGATATCCCTAAATGAGTGTTTACAAACACTTAGTGGTTAGTCCCTGTTTGTTTCAGAGATTATTCAATATGTACGACTCAATGTCTCCCTATCTCTTTTGAAACAAGCAATTTTGGCGTTTTCATCTGCCGATTTTACCTAATTATAGCTAGTGCATTCCTTTAATTTGTTTCCAATACCTTTGTACTTTTCATTGCCCCTACAAATGTCGTAACAGTATTTCACGTAGAAACATCCTGATTGCGTTGATAAACAGGCTTGGAAATCATTGCTGTAACTTCATTGACGTTTTCTAGCAGTTTGTTTTTACAATTTTTAAAAAGCTTGAACTCAGAATGGGGCACAGTATGAATTTTCATGATGGCGCAACTAGGAGGCGCACAATGCTCATTTCAGGAAATGCGCCGGCGCATTTTTCAGGTGGCCCAGAGTACCGATTTTGATCTCCACACATACCTCAAATATTACATGATATCACAGGGGTTGTTGTGTAATGAATTCTAATTATATATTTTCCATCTGCTAAAGTAACTGATTTGTATTCTTACTTTCTAGACACTGGTGAAGATTGTTATCAAAGAAGGTTACTCAAATGAACGATACGAATTAATAACTACTTTTCCAAGGCGAAAATTATCGTATTTAGATTTTGATTCAACATTAAAAGACGTTGGGCTTTTCCCACAAGAAACTGTTTTTGTTCAAGAGCGGTAGCCATGGCGATTCATACCTTGTATATAGAGTGGTACCCATGATGATTCTTACCTTGTACATACCTCATCAATTGGTCCCAATGAATGTAGCTGTTGCCTTAGTAACCAGTTTGTATTTGACTTGGACCAATTTGAAATATTCATGTGACTGATATTAGCCAGTAACCACTTTCTACAGCAGATTTCATAGTGCATGAGTTGCATATTAATTATATCGACCTTGGGTGTTGACCTTGGCACATCTCTTATATAATGTGTGGTTTGACTGCAATCTGACTTTAGTTTTGCCTCTGTCAGTTTTAACTTTAAATTCGTATAACATACTCAAGCAATTTCCGTTCCAAGAAATCATGTATGTCAAAATGTACTGTCATGACAGTCTGATTGGTTTTATCACCAAATGTATGCGACTGCCCTCAAAACATTTAGCAATTCATAGGCGTGTTTATAAGAACACATTAAATATTGTTCTTCCATTTTAAACAACATTTATGTATATGACTGAACTCATTAAGATGGATCAATACAGTCTCACAAACGTGGGTGGGTTTTGAAATTAATGCGCAAAAGTTTTCATGCGAGAGCTGCTGTATCTTTAAAAATATGTTCATCTGCCTGCCTGTCTTCTTTGCCTTTGCCTGCCAAGAACCACCTCAATTTGATTACAATGAAACTTTATACCTAGATGCTCTGGGAAAATGCCCTCTCAAGCTTTGCTCCCAATATTCCTCAGTACAATGGAACTTTGCCTCCAATACCCCTCAGCACACCAGAGCTTTACCTCCAATACCCCTCAGCACACTGGACTTTGCGTCCACTACCCCTCAGCATACTGGAGCTTTGCCTGCAATACCTCTCAGCACACTGAAGCTTTGCCTGCAATACCCCTCAGCACACTGGAGCTTTGCGTCTAAATATTCCTCAGCACACTGGAGTTTTGTGTTCAATACTCCTCAGCACACTGGTGCTTTGCATCCAATACCCCTCAGCACACCAGAGCTTTACTTCCAATACCCCTCAGCACACTGGAGCTTTGCGTCCAATACCCCTCAGCACACTGGAGCTTTACCTCCAATACCCCTCAGCACACTGGAGCTTTGCGTTTAATACACCTCAGCACACTGGAGCTTTGCCTGCAATACCCCTCAGCACACTGGAGCTTTGCGTCCAATACCCCAAGCACACTGGAGCTTTACCTCCAATACCCCTCAGCACACTGGAGCTTTGCGTTTAATACACCTCAGCACACTGGAGCTTTGCCTGCAATACCCCTCAGCACACCAGTGCTTTGCCTCCAATATTCCTCAGCACACTGGAGTTTTGTGTTCAATACCCCTCAGCACACTGATGCTTTACGTCCAATACCCCTCATCACACTGGATCTTTGCCTCGAATATCCCTCAACACACTGGATTTTTTTCATCGTCTTGCACAACTATGCTCTATTTCATGTCTAGGGTTCTGCAAAAGTTATCTGGTTATTCTGTGACATCACGATAAAACTACCTGGAATCAACTTTTAGATTTTGGTAGCATGTATTTTATAATTATGTCGGAATTAATGTATTTTCATCTTTCTATCTTTTCTTCAATATTTGTTATTGAAAATGTGCTTTTCTACTCAAATAAATAAAATAAATGTTTTTATTTGAAATACAATAAATTATGAGTTTAAATGTGATATCCTTCTTTGGTTTAGTCACTTTATCTACTGCCACCTCATGCTAATTCCTGAAAATTTATGTAACTTTATTTTTTCAATCAATATTTTATATTTAAAATCTTGACTACTCAACAATTTTAGTGTACAAAATCTTGTAATATTTAGATGTACTTTTCTAGACACGAGATGTTATGTAATATTTAGATGTACTTTTCTAGACACGAGATATTATGTATTAAAAACTATTGCCTAGAATGACACTCTTGATCAGCTTTATGTTTATAATCATGTTGTTAAATTTTGTTTCTTTTATGCTCAGAAATATTTTTGTAAAATGTATTGTCATCTGAAATGAATTGTGCATAGTTTTAATTTGATGTCCATACACTATCATATATACTTAATGTATCACATTTTTTATCAATTGACAACAGTATGTATATGTCTATGTATGTCGTAATAAAGATGTGCAAGATTACACCAGTATTTGTAACTTATCTGAATCAACTCATTTGGGGGGGGTGACAAGAGGGGATAAGTTATCTTGCTTAGTTCATGAACAAAAAATATCATTTTTTTTTTTCCCAAAAGCGTACTCAATTTATTTGCCAAGAAATTGGCACTGCTTCCCTAATGAAAAACCCGTCCCAGGTCTTAGTTGTCTCATCAATTTCATCTATAGACTCGCATTGGATGATAACATCCTATTTATTAAAATTGAATATTCTAGTCTGAGACTGTTTGTGGTAATGCAAAATATGCCAGGTGGAATTAATAGTGTGGATGGATTATTGTATATACCGGTATGTAGATTTTGTCAGTTTTTTACTATCCTATATTTTTGTAACAATGTAATTTTATGCTTTATATACTGTAAAACACATATTAGTGAAATTGTTGATTCATCCAACCTATTTGTTCACATTGCCAAACCAGTTTTTTCAGTTACAAAAGAGAATAATCTTTCTCTTTTTTTGGTTGCATATTTATTATACACAACACTGAGATAATAGGCCATAACAAAAAAGTTGTTTCTCGTTCCAGGAAAAATTATCTGATGATGCAGTTTTAATTTGCGTGTGTGTGCAAGATTATTCGATACCACACGATGTATGTTGAAAATTTATTAAATTATGCTTTAAAATACATGCATTAAAGGTTTGGATCTACAAATCATTTTCTGAAACCGAAAACATGTTGAAATAAAAACTAAGCAAATAAAGACCAAACAATGTAAAAATAGTGTCTGAATAAAGACAAAATAAACAAATAATGATAAAATAGTGTAATAAAAATGTCTAAATAAAGGCCTGATAAGTAATGATGTCAAAATAATACAAGTAAAAATCAAAATACATTTATTGAGATATTAATAGATATAAATAAAGGTGAAATAAGCAATTACGCAATAAACTGATAATGTTAAAATAGGTAAATAATTGCAAAAAATGTAATAATATTTATATTCGCATAGACGCATAATTACAAAATAGTGTAGTAATAACTGATCACCCCGTTCTCATATAAAAATATTTGATCGTGATCTGAACTACCTTTGGTTATAATGGTATAATCCAACTTGATGAGCTCCCGCGAGAATTCGTGTGAACTGACTTCAAAATGGCGGCGAAATTAAATTCCTGACGTAGAAGTTGTCGTTTAGTCTTCTGTCCTCAGTTGGCCAAACAACTTGACCCTTGAAACTTATTACAGGTAGGGCAATTAAGTCAAGTTCATCTGAGTTCGCCGGTGTCATATTCACGTTCACTTCGATTGCTGCATAGTTGTGGTTTGTTTACAAAAAGGCCGTTTCGGAACAAAGTTATGTACGATATGGTTGCAATAGTTACATAGCAAGAATTTGTCCACCCCTCTTGCCAAGTGTTTAAACCCTTGTTTTGACCGCCACCTACCTAAATATTTTCATTGTATTGAAATCAAGAGATACAAATTTCTTTCCTGTATATTCACACGTGTAACACTTTTCAATCCCCCCGAGTATCGCGGTTGTTATATGTGACGACCGAACTCGGGTGACGACCGAACTCAGCCAGCAGTTGAAGTCGGCCAGTGGGTGAAAAGAGTTTCTTAAGGCCCCCTCACCCCTCATATTATTTTTGTCCTGTTTCAGATATTAAGATGGATAAGCATTGGGTTGAGGATGTATTCCCTCCATATTATACATACTCAACAGAAGAGATCCATGCAAAGTATGAGAAACAATCACCTCCCACAAGTAAAGTCAAAGCCCTGTATGAGAAAGTTAGACAAGAGATTGCTAAAGAGGAAAATGACTTGCAACAAAAAGCTGTTCAAGCAGGAGACACTCTTGCTGAGTACTTTGAAAAGGAAGATTCTAAGCTTGTGGAATTGGAAAAGTCATGTTTGTGGTCACATAAAGAGCTTGAAACCTTGCGAGAAGCTTTTAAAAGTGCAAAATGTGATAATTTTAAACTAGCTGGTAAGTGGAGTGTTGCCAGCAAACAAGTAAAAGAACTGGATTCAAAATGCAAGAAACAAGCCCATATCATTGAGTCAACAAGTAAAAAACTACATGCAAGTGAACAAGAGTGCAAAAGACTTGCCATACATCAAAAACAACTGCAGCGTGAGGTGACAACTAGAGTTGGGGAAGTCAAGATGCTAAGAGGCGAAATTGCTGAGTTAAAACAAGAGAGATTGAAGATGAGGAAAAAAATTAAAGAGATGAGAAAAGTGTTAACTGAGGAAAAAATGAACAGACAAGATGCACAAATTGAGCTTGAAGAAAAGGGGAAGAACTATGAACTACAGCGTATTGTTAGAGAGGACGGTATTAGATTAGAATATCAAGCGGAAATTAATCGACTCTATGAAGAGATCAATAATTTAACCCTTGAATTGGAGAAGGAGAGATTATCTCATACGATTGACAATAAAGGTCTGGATCATCTTAGAAATCACTTTGCAAGCCTTTCAGTACAACATTCCAGTAAGAAAGATGAATTACGAGTGCTTGACACCACACCATTTTAGTGGTAAAATAATTCATCATAAAATAACATGTAGCCAATCTGAAAAATAACTTTTTAAGATATATATATCAAATGAAAGGCATTGTTATGTACAATTCAATTCTGTAATAAAATCATAGATAGGAGAAATATCTTTTGAGATATCATTATTTTCAAAATTTTCAAATTTTTTTTTAATTATTCAAAAGAAAATTTATGTAATTTGTTCACACTATACCTGATACTAACATGTTATATATTGAAATGCAGAAATTCAAACAGGAAGAACTGATATCAATCCAAGTTTACTTTTTACCTGAATTTCTCAGATTGTTTTATGGTTGCGAATAGAACAGTAACAATAGTTAGTCTCAAAAACTGTCTTGTAATTCATCACTTTAGCAATTGTCTACAGCATGTGGACCTTTTTTGTTTATTGTCAGTCTGTTGTTATAACACACATAAAATATCAGTTAGCAACAGTTTCCATAACTACAATGCAAACATATTTCGTCAATAAAATCCCACAAAAAAATAATGCCAAGTTTTGTTTTTTTGCCCTGTTAATCAGACAAATTTTTTGGATTTGAAATATATCCTTGTCTATGATAAAATGTAGGCTAAACATGCTATTCATTCTTTTTTGTACATTACCTCCCAACTGAGTACGGTGATCCTATAATTTCATGACATTTTGTTCAATGAAAAAGTGGACAAGCCTCTTGATTATGTGGTAGGCTATGCATGAATGCAGTCCATATGTGAGAGTGTTGACCTTTCACATTTTGTGGTCATTGTTTTTATACATTTTTCTTCTGAAATTAAGGAAGGTGTGCCATATTGATCAAAAGCCAGTGACCCACATCCAATACCAGATAGCTAAAAAAGCAGCACTATTGTGTTCCTACAAGCTCCATGTTTGACCCAATCTTTGTGGTTTCTTCTTAGCACAGTAAAGTTGTCTACTATGAAAGTCCATAAAAAAACATTTTTTAGAGCAAGATTTGATTTGAGAAATTGATTCGGACTATAATTATAATTCAATTTTTCGAGAAAATGATGGTTGTAATTTAGTGTATATTATAGTTTGACAGTATTATAATGCTTTTACCACAGGTTCCTATGGCAGAGATATGCCATATCTCAAATTGTAGCCTTGTGACACAGACTGAAAAAATCGTATATTAATGATTGTTCTAAATTATTTCAAAAATCCAGGTTTAACATTTTTCTTTAAGATTGTGCTCTATGGAATTGTTCTAAAAATAGTGATTTTTGAAATTTTTTTAGGACAAGTATCCAAGAATATGTTACTGTAACACACAGAAGAATGCTGTTTCATGGTGTCATGGGATAATAGCTCCATGATTTTACATAATATACCAATAAACACTGTCATGCGTTTAATGACCAACATCTCAAAAATTATGAGTAGGCTTCTACCTTTATGTAAACATCCAAAGATCAAGATACTGACATGTTCTTTTAATTTAGAGCTGCATTTTTCATTGTCATATCCAGATATTCTTTCTTATAGGCAATAAGATTTTTTAATAAACTTAAAAAAACAAAAATAAGGTATGCTGGTACTTTCATTGGAAATGAAAATAGTATTGTGCTTCTGAAGAGGTCTACTTTTTTAGTCCCCATACAGACGCAGTCCGAACACGAGGACTTATGTTTTGACCCTTGTGCTTCCATGCATACGTCCGGACCTGTGTCTTAGAAATGCCTGGATGAATCATGATCAAACTTCACACATACATCATACATGATATTATACATATGCACATCAATTTGTTTCACGATCTGATTCAAGATGGCAGAATGGCGGCCATTTTTGTGCTAAAAAATCATCAAAATCAAGCATTTCTCGGCTGTTTACAGATGGATTTTGTTCAAACTTGGTATATACGCTGGACATTATAGGACCTTGATGCACATTATTTTGTTTTTCAGATAAGATTCAAAATGGCCGACTTGCGGCCATTTTATTTTAATGAATGGACTTCTAGACCCATATCTCTGACTTGCTTTGACTGATTATGTTAAAATTTTTAATATTCATTATACATGATGTCATAGATATACAGATATATTGGTTTGACGATCCTATTCAAAATGGCCGGATAGTGGCCATTTTTGTGCTAAAAAATCATCAAATATCAAGCATTTCTGGATGGATTTCGATCAAACATTAGACATTACATTAACACATTACGGGTTCCTGATGCACATCATTTTATTTTTCAGATCGGATTCAATTAATGCTGTTCCAGAGCAATATCTACCAATATGGACAAGTACTTGTTTGACGATCAGATACAAATGACAATCATTTTAATGTTAAACAATCATCATAATCATATTCCTGACATGGTTATATCCGAGCTGTATTACTATAAACAAAACTATATATCTTAAATTTGAGAACTAACGGGGACTGTGCCATGCATGGCTTGTTTGGTCTTTGTTTTTCACCCACGTGGTGTGAGAAAAGGTCCAGTCGACTTCAAATGAAAATGGCTTTATAATCGAACGGGTGCTCTGGTTCCAGCTTGCGTAAATACACAAACCTGAATACAAGTAATCTAAAACAGTTCTAACACGTTAAAAAACTATGCCAATAATTAATAATATATGGCCAACACTTGAAAAATAAACAAATTCCCGTTGTTCAGCTTTCACTTTT